GGGATGCTGGGGATGAGCAGAGGGATGCTGGGGTGAGGAGAGGGATGCTGGGGGCTAGTAGAGGGATGCTGGGAGTGAGCAGAGGGATGCTGGGGTGAGGAGAGGGATGCTGGGGGCTAGTAGAGGGATGCTGGGAGCGAGCAGAGGGATGCTGGGGACGAGCAGGGGGATACTGGGGGCGAGCAGAGGGATGCTGTCATATAAGGTGTGCTTCAAAGGGACAGAATCCTGATGGTTTGGGTTAAAAGTAAAAAGCAGGAAGATGAGGCCCAGCACCATTAGATATGTCAAGAAGCAACTGCAAGAATCACCTTAGTGGTGCTGGGAACGAGGGAGTTCGCACGTCCACCCAGAATTTCAAATTGTGCTCACCCCAAATCTGTAGAACTAATATCATGATCTAAGGTTAAAGCCAGAAACAAGTGTCAAACTCAAGAGTATAGCTGAAGATAGATAGACAGAATTAAAGGAAGCATGAGAGAGAACTGAGGTATGTTAGGACTTGGAACCTACAAGCTGTGACCTGCAGGCCTAATGCAAGTGGAGCAAGAAATCACGACAGCAGGGCAAGAGAGCCACTCAAAGGTATGCCATCCTATGGGTGAAAGCAGCCCCGCAATACAGCTGCGGCCTAGCGAGAAGGATGCTGCTTCAAAACATGCACTAGCCTCTCTACTCCACGCTGGGCTGTTGCTGCTGCCACTGCCTACACCAGTGGCCGGAAAGCCTAGCTGACTTATCTGGAGTCCAGGGCAGAGAGAAAAAGATTCAATGGTCATGACTGCTTAGCACTATTATGGTACTGTCTTCACGGGTGACTTCTGTTTTCATTTGGCATGTCAGGAAAGGGATATGTTTACCACTCTACAGACACTTATGCCTTACAAGTACATTAATATTTTTTCTTGTTTAACAGGGCTTTGGATATTTGGGTATATGTCCATGCTTTGATATGTTATCATGCATTATATTCCATTGTCATAGAGTTTGTCTGAAAGTCATTTTCTGTTAGTTTGTATACAACCCACAAATGACCTAAAAGACAGATGTATTAGGATGTCGCTTGAGCGTTTTTATTTCCCTTAAAAACAGTAAAAAAAAAAAAAAAAAAAAAAAAGTCATTTGAAAGAAAGTTGTGAAATCTTTGCTTTTATCAGTATTTGTAAAACTATGAAAGCATAAACATCAACAGAGAACTCACTATAGGTGTCAACAACATAAGCGGATGCAGGCCAGCCAGTCAAGCAGTCACAGATAGTTGATGTTAACTCTAAAGAAAAAAAACCTAGTAAAACGGAAAGCAATAACAGCAAATCAGCTGAGCCAGGAATAAACATGTGTGCAAACTTGGACAACTTCTTACTGATAACCTCAGAGGGCTTGTATGTATCCTTGTGTGTATACACACACGAGCAATATTTCATTCTAAATGTTGTGTGCCTTGGTACCAGGAGTCCTCTGGCATGTATTTGGACAGTATTTTCATTTGTAATGCTGACAAAAGGAGAAAGACAAGAGTGTTTACAACTACGATGAGTTTCTGCAAGCAGAAACAGAAACAGAATTTTACTTAAATTGCCAAAATAATAGCAAAAAATCAATAATTGGAACCTGGATCACTCTAATTAGACAACCACACAGCTTCAGCTCCCTAAATATTTGCCAACTCTCTCATTTGAGATATAGATCTTGCCATGTGGCAAGAATAGTACCTATATAGGAAAATGTGAAACTTTTCATATTTTCTGAGCTATCCCTTTAAAATGCGAGCTAGTGAATGATACACACTTATCTGAAACCTGTACCTTAAAACGCCTATTATCTTTTGAGTGCTAATAAAAGGCAGACTTTTAAAAATAATAATTAAACTATATGTGCTATTCACAGGCCTGAAGATGATTTTATATCATTAAACTTCTGCATAAATATGCTTCAATAAGCAATTAAACCAAAGGATCTGGTTTGCATTTTAATCCCCCCTTTTCTCTGGGAAGTCATCACAGTCATGTACCTTTGATCTTACAGTCATTTCTGGCACCAGATTCAGATATCACAAATGAATAATTATTGCTTCATAGAATGGAATTCAAAGACAATGGAGTCTAATGAAATGGGGCTTTGTTTCGCACAGAAGTGAAACGTTTTCTAAGAGTAGCAAAGAAAGAGTTCTAAGCACGGTGCAGAAATCCATTTATGATTGAACATCCTGAGATTCCTTCTTGATGGTAATCTACACATTGCACAGTTTGGAATCTGATGTTTTTCTTGGAGAAATTAATGTTGCTTGCTACTTGAATGCCCTGTTAGTACCTTTTCATCGTACTTACACGGCTTTTCCCTTGTTTCTGCTCCACAGGCTGTTCCACCTCCCAACTTTGAAATGCCGGTTTCCATCCCAGTGTCGAGCCATAACAGTTTGGTATACAGCAACCCGGTCAGCTCACTGGGAAACCCCAACCTTCTGCCACTGGCCCACCCTTCTCTGCAGAGGAATAGTATGTCTCCTGGTGTAACACATAGACCTCCAAGTGCTGGTAACACAGGTATGTCCTTCACAGGACATAATGTAACAAGTTGTTGGAAGGGCCCTCTTCTAGCCAGAGCTTTCTCACCTAGGCCATGCACTTTGGTCTCCCATTTAGATCCTTTCATCACTTAACAGCCACCTTTTACCAGACTCGCTGTGTGACACAGTCTAAGCTCTTCAGACTATCTTTCAAAATATTTCGTAACCCATACTTCATTTGTTTTTTGACTGTCATATATCTCCTCCAGTGGCTATATTTTAACCACATTCTTTCTCAAACAGTGTGTCAAATATCTAGTCTGCATACTTTTGTTCCCTCTCTCGTCTGCATAAAGTATCATCTTCTCTCTTCTGCCTACGGAAAAGTCACCTCTTATGCGAAACCATTCTCTGCCCTCCAATTGCATCTGCCCATATATGTAATTGTCTGGATCAAGTATTTTTTGAAACAACTTATCCCAGAATGAATATAAGGTAGGAAAGAACTGTGTGGTCCACTGGCACGAATTGTAAGGGGTGTGAAATAAGAACTCAGCTAAGTCAGAAATTCCATCAAGAGCACGTCACAAACTCAGGGACATTCACCACAGATGTGCCTTGGTGTTATAAAAGATCCTCAATTCACAATGTCCTAGAGACATGAAATTACTGCTCAGGAAAAAAAAAAGAGCCATTCTTAGTACGTGAATCAGGCTAAATATGTTATGATGTACTGTATTGAATATGTCCTTTTCTCCACTGGACTTGAAGCATCTTGAAAGGAAGAAAATGCCCATTTGATTTCCCAAGCTCACAGTGGGAGCTAAGTCAGTGTGTACTGATATAACTAAGCCATTCCTTCATAGTTCCAGAAGCGGCATCAAAAATAATTGTATTTCTAATCTCGTGCAACAGTGTATTGTGTACTTCTATTGTGGTTTTCAGGAAGCACTCCACAGGGTACTTTCAATAACTAAGGCACATTTAGCTGTGCTTAGGTGAGCTTATTTATGGAAGAACTTTTCTTCAAGAAGATTTCATAAATCATGAGCCAGGGAAGTGTGTACAAAAGACTTCACTGTGCCATTCTCTCTTTTAGAATATGGTTGGAATTTTATATAAATTTTAATAGCCATATAAATTCCTTTCAGATCATATTTAGATGTATTTGAATGAAGTATTTGATAACTCATATTCATTTATTATTTCAAATTTGACATGGTCGTCAAAATTATATTTGCTGTGAAATAACAATTTTCTAAAATATAGTAAACATCTTTCCTGATTCTTAAACCTGGAACCAAGTAATAACAATAAAGTACCACTAAGGAACAACTAAGAAATCTCAATAAAATGTTATTGCCACTGTTTTTCTAGATCCTGCATTTTAAAATTTTTAAAATAATCGTTATATTCATTCTTACTGAAAGTCTGCAACTGTCAGTAAGAAACATAGTCATTCATTTATTTGCTCATTTTGATGGAAGCATGCAAGTGTCACTGCCCATCTGTGGCCATAGGATGATAGTGTGCAGGAATTTATTCTCTTCCATTGTGTGAGTCCAGGAGACAGAACACAGGCCACCATGCTTGGTGAAGGAACTACCATACCTAGAACCATCTTGCCAGCCCAAGGTTTTATATTGTCTCTTAAATTAACAACAAATTAGCATGTTTTTAAACCTGTGGCAAAGAAAGCTTATTTATCATGTCATTAAGTAAAATTCAACAGAAATATTAGTCAACTTCTGAGAAAATAATATTTCTAGTCAATAAATATTACACTAATTTTATAAAATATATTTAGGAAGAAACTAGACATCAGACAGATGGATATCAAGGCAGAGAGTGGAAATAAAGTGGGGTTTTCTTTTTTTTTTACTGTAAGGTGCCTCTTTAGGGGAAAACTAGACTTGAAAATAATAATGCAGAGACTATTCACAGACAACAGTTTTCTAATATAATCATTTCTAGAGGAAAAAATCCGCGAAATGTCAGTGAGTGAATGTATTTTTAACATTTGAGCACAGCATGTCACAATAAAACAAATGTCAGCCCTCCAACATAGGTAGAACTATTTAAGATTGTCTCTCAGGAGAGGACAATGGCTGAGTACTGAAGGCACTGTGCTCAGTTCCATTGCCCCTTAGCCTTTCTCCTTTTCATCTTCCTCTTTACTCCATAGGTGGTCTGATGGGTGGAGACCTCACATCCGGTGCAGGCACCAGCGCAGGTAAGCACAGACATCAGCTCTGGAGCAAGCACGTGGCATTGGCCACAGTCTGTGGGTGGTTTTGAAGGAGGAGTGGTTGAACACTATACAAAGGAAATATAGACTAACGGCAGTCTTCGTTGGTACAGCTTTAGCCAAGGCAAAGCAGTCATCAACCTGAACTGTCGTGTTCTTTGTTAATGAAGACAATGTATTTATATCATTTCTGCAGTTAGGGAAGGCAAAGAAAAAATTAAATAACTTCATCCGGTCTGCAGACAATTGTAGATGCTGATCCAATCACCTCAGTCCCTGATACTACTCTTAGACATCAATAAACTATGTTGCCATGGAAAACCTTTAAATATATTTCACCTCTTAAAAATATCCTCAACAGTGACTAGTTGTCTCATAATCACATTTATTCAGGTTTTTAAATTAATTTATAATATTGGGATTGTGAAGATGTTGCTTTACTTTTCAATGAAGATAAATAATATAGCACAGAACTTTTAAGTGCCAACTCTAGTTTACTATCAGTGTAAAAAGTAGCCTTGGTAATTTCTACAGCTGGAACATGCTATCAATTTAAAATAGGAGGCAGGCATGAATGACACAAGGTTATATTTGAAGTGTCAAAAAAATCAAGTTTTATTGAAATATGCATGGACAGCCTAATTAAAACAGTTTGCTCAGGTCAAATATAATAGCCTGCTAATTATAAGAAAGAAGATAAGGAAAATTGGCATACAAAAACATTTTTATACATACATCAATTGGAGGTGGTGTTTCTTCTGGGTACTGAGTTTTTATTACTTCAGTGAGTGATACAGAAATACCAGAATTACATGGACAGTAGATAGAAAGGAGGGATAACTAGCTCACTACCTAAAAATTTTCAAAGGTTAGGTGGAGGCAAACTAGTAAGTAGATTCAGCAGTATTTTTTTTTAAAAAATGAATTTGTCATACATATTTTTTTCTGCAGAAAATACTTTGCAATTAGTAACATCAAAATTCAAGAACCAGAAGAAGTCCAGACAGGTGTTTCCTAGATCAAAGTCCTAGCACACACTGGTTAGAGTCAGTGGTAGGGCTGATAGGATAGTCACAAGGACCAAGTCATAACCTAAAAAAAGGAGTATAGATGTTATGACTTAGCCAGTATTTCACTACGCCACCTTGATTAATATTAAAGAAACAGTCAGCCATAGAAGTAAATATTAAGAAAAATGCATTTTTGTTTTTGTTTTGTAAATGTATGGGGGGGAATCCTTGGGTTACTAAACTTTGATGCAAATGGTCTCTTGCCACTAATTAATAGCAGTGATGCTTTAGAATCCAATGTTGACAATAAGAAGTGTTTGATTATTCAGTTCTGCTTTTATTGTTAATTGCCTGACAGCCTGCTAAATTTAATCATTCTCCAAGAATAAAGGAGATATTCAGTCTTCTAAATATAAAAGGTTGCCATATACAGAGTATAGAACCATTAAAAAAAATCTTAGGAGTTAAACCAACTTATCCTACTACCTCAGAACGTATGCCACAGGCACATGACACCTTTTATCTAGAAAGAGAAGATATTAGGCTGGCAATATGGCGCAGTGGGCAAGTGTTTATCAGGCTGGGGACTCAGCTCAGAGAGTAAATGCTTGCCATTGGTTCCTGGCAGTCTGAGCATTGAGGCTCTGTGGTCATGTTGTGTTCCTGTAGAGGATCTGAAGCAGACAGAGAGCATCATCCTAATGCTCCTGGACCAGTTAGCCCAGCATACGCAGCAAATAGCAGAAAACCCTGTTTCAAACATATGGAAGGCACAGCCCAGTTCTCCAAGGTGTTCCTTCCACATTGAGTGTGGTACTGACCCCATGCCTAAGCAACCATACGTATATACATTACACTGACACAGAGATGGAAAGAGAAGGAACAAAAGGGAAAACTATCACTGCACCTTATTACTAAATATAATTTCTATGTATGTCAGAATCACACACTATAATTTTTATAATTTCTACACTGTTGTATTAAAGTTGCTTAGCCTTATTTTTAAATAGAGAAGCAGCCCTTTCTGACCCTGGTCCCAAGGAACACCTGTTGCAAATGCCATTTAGTCTTGAGCACAGCCGTGTACTGCTTGTAAGCTCACTCATCTTAGCCTTCTTTTTCATGCCAGCTGCTATCACATGTCAAGGCTGAATATATCTGTGCTGATGTCAGAGAGTCACATAGCACCAAGGGGAAGCAAGGCCAGCCAGAAAGTCTCTGCATTCTCAATGAGGAAAACTAAAGCAAACTTACCAAAAGATATCTTCCAAATAGTTAACATTGTCACTTGAATCTCAGGGTCTCAGAATTAGATCCTTTAACGCCAAATGCAAGGTGGCACCCAAATTAAATAGTTGAAGCCTTTGTTCTTTGCTTTTCAAAATCAGGCTAGTTACACACACCAAACAAACGAACAAAAAAGGCAGCAAAAACATAGTTTCACTAAGTGAGGCAGTAACATTTATTGTAACTTACTGTGTGACTTAAAAATAGAATCAAATAGAAAAGCATTCTCTTTCTCAGTTCAGCTTGGTTTCCCAACTAGCGCGAGAACTATCATGTGGTCATCTGGTGAGCACTTAGTCCTACTGACTCTGTCTCCACGGTACTTCCTAGGGTAACCTTTCTTCCTCCATAACTATCCTAGCTCTATCTCCATGGTACTTCCTAGGCTAACCTCTCTCCCTCCACAGCTATCCTAGCAGCTTGAATCAGACTCAGGGCTTTCGCCCAGACTGTTTCCAGAGCTTCCTTGCCCATCTTTCTGTTCCACATCACATTCCCTGATAGTCTTTCTGTGGCTGCTCAGTCTTTCTCCAAGCCTCACACTAATTACATGTCATCATTTACATAAAACTCAATAATAAGTCCCAAGATCTTTCACAATTAACCACGAGCCTCTTATCTGTGGCCGATCCTACGCTCTAGGCTTTCACTCTTCCTGCCATTGCCCTCAAAAGCATCCTGTGCTCCAACTTTAGTAATAACAAACACTCGAATAGCTTACAATACGCATCTTCTACAAAATTAAAAAGGTAACTCAACCAATCTTATAGCTGTCTTTGAAAGTAAATGCTCCCATTGTGCCATCTCTACATATGGGTAAACTGAGGCATGGAGAAGCTATTTAATGAACTAAAGTAGAACCCAAGAAGTCTGTCTCCAGAGTCTGTGCTTCTAACTGTCTTGCTGTACTGTCCCTTTCAGGTTTCAGGACAGTGTCTAGTCCTCCTCTCCTCCTGCCTGTAGATTCCTAGCTCTTCTTTCTCTCCCCAGTTTTCTGTTCTGGAGCAGTCTGTCTTTGTTCAGAATCCAGTTCAGCCATTTAGAGTCCTGCACCTTCCCTCTGTGCTCCCAGGGCAGCCTGCACAGACATTAAATGTCCCTTTGCACAGTGTTTACAGTCTCTGGGCACATCTCTTCTGGACACTGCCATTTGGAGCAGACCAGACATAGTTTGTGTCTCAGCTCAGTACATAAAAGTTAGCACACAGCAGACGTTCAGTAAGTGTTTGTTCTCCGAATAAAACACCCATCTCTGAGATAGGAGGCTTTTAATAGTAATAATAAAGCTTTAATGAACTAGAAAGTGAGAATATTTAAAAACTGTAATTTTAAATACAAAAACCCTTGTTCTGCACTTTTCAAAGAAAATATATTCGTTTCAGACTGTATAGAGTGAATGCCTAGTTGATAAAAATGGTTGAATACTGTTGACTGATAAAGCAGGGTTTTACTACAATCTTTAATACAGTTTTTAAAAATCTAAACTGCTGATATATAGCAGAAAGTGAAATGAGAACTGGTATCTCACACCATCACAAATCCCTGCTTAAAACAATGAACCCCTTATCATCACTTAGATTGAAATAATTACCAAGAGGAAGGCAAGTTGTACAGAAGAAGTGATGGAATGGGCTTGGGCGCTTGCTATGGAGGATATATACAGCAAGTCATTAGAATGCATTAGTAACAGTGACAGTTCTAGCCAGTTTTCATCCACGACTCATCCCTTTCCTCTCAACAACCAAAATGAGACGTCACTGCTTTTAAAATTACATTTTGTCATGTCTCTGTACATTAAAGCTTTTAACATCTTAATCTACGTGGTTATTGATGATTGTAAGATCAAGTTCAATTTAGGTTTGTTGTAATCATTACATCTAATGGAAATAACCATTAGCACAGAAATACCTTGTGCTGCTGGATCAGGCACTATCAAAAGAATAGCTTCTGGGTTTTTTTTTTTAATACCTTTACAGAGCAGAAGGCACACTTATTTACTGATTCATGGTTAAGATTTAATCACAGTAAGGGGGAGAACTTTAGAAATCATTTTGAAAAATTAAGGAAATTTGACAATCTGCATAGCTATTTGAGTATAAGACATATTTGAGAGGAAGATTTATGCATATTGGTTAATAATTTTAATTGGCATTCATTGTAAATTACATATCATTTTATATAAAAAGAAGCTAACAGCTGTTTCTTTATTTTGATTGTCAATTGTTTACTATTTTATGCATTTGGTTGTTAAGCATTGCCACTTCTGGAATGCTTAATTTACATCAGCTAAATAGGTGGAGCCGTGTGGTTCACTCTGTACTACCAAGGATGCACACAACAGGCAAATAAGAGGACCTGCTTTCCAGGCGTGGACAGACCTCGCCGGACCTTCGATCATGACTCAGCACCTTCAACTGAGTCCTTGCGCTCCAGCTAAGATACAATTAGCATCACAATCCATTTGCAGGAAATGTTTTGTGATCACTGTGATCACATCATCACAAAACTCTACACTTTTTAAAATTCAGGTAGCAGTGAAAAGAAAAACAGAGCATACTACTGGAGAGAACCAAGTCAGAAGAGGCAAGGAGTGCACGGCTTAAACGCTTGTGCATCTCTTATTCAATAATTTAAAAAAAAATTGGTGAAGTGACTAAAGTTTCAATTTATGAAGATGACTTAGTATTT